TAACTGGGAGAGGCGATATCAGAGGCCTCGAGGAATCTGAGCCTCCAGCAGAAAGAGGAAAAATAGAAATTCTGGCCTCCCTGCTCCAAAGCTTTTTCCAAAGAGGAGTTCCCCTGATTGACGAAAGCTCCTGGGGTCCACTGGAGTGAAAGGATTAGAAAGCGCCCCTGATGACACAAGGCAGCAGCTGTCTTCCACAGCTTTCTCTGTGTGCTTAGAAGGAGAAGGAAATGCTGAGTCATTTAAGAAAAGCAGACATGATGGTGAATGCTGGATGAGCACAGAATTTGACAGGGGAGGGGCAGAGCATGGTGTGTGTGTGTGTGTTTAGGGGGTGAGGGCACGTGACAAGAATGGACACTTATCACCTATCAGGATATACAGCCCAGGGCATGTTTCTGGCTCTTCTGTGGTAGCAGAAGAGGAAGCAGGAAGATAAACTGGGTTTCGACCATCTGCAGCCACCTCCAGGGCCAGTGAGAATGGAGCTTCGGGCTCAGAGTCAGCCTTCCCGGCTGCAACAGGAATCCTCGTGATCGCTTCCCCCGACCCTGCAAATTTCCTGAAGCATCATCATTCTTTTTCCTTCTGGGCCACAAGCTTTCCCTTCCTCTGCCTCCAACCCTTCCTGGCCCCCCACCTTTTCTCAACTCCACTCTGGCTTGGGATTCCTTCCTTCTGAAGGCCTCAGATTGCCGGCCCAAGTACACTCGTCTGAATTCAATCTGGGCGAACGGCAGTCAACCGTCCTCTATCAACACGTTTTCTATTAGATTCTATCCTAATGCAAGAAGCCTCAGGAGACCAGTGTGGACAGGACCTGAGGGTTCAATTTCTGCCCGAGGGCTGCCTGGCGGGGAGGCCTGGTCTGTCTCTGCTGCCCCCTGCCGGCAGGCGGAGGTTCCCAGCGGGCAATGTTGGCTTGTGTCTCTGACTCACTCACTGTCACGCTGCGCTGCAGCCGCCCTCAGACCAGCCTTTATGAAAACCACAGAAAGGTGCTGATCGCTGGGTGTTTATAACACGGCCCGCTGATACGCACGGCATGCTCGTCATTTCAGAAAGAACATGAAGGAATATTAGCAGTGACTATCCCTCCATGTTAGTGCTTCACAGGGGACTATTATTCACAGCAAACATTATTTTCCTAATAAATAAAAGATACCAGAGTGGGGCCTCCCCGGTGGCGCAGCGGTTGAGCAGTGGGTTGCTAAGCTGCCCGCAGCCTCTGCAGCGCCGGTTCGATCCCAGCTGCTCCCCGGCCACTGGAGGAGGGTCCCACATGGCGCGCAGACCTCTCCTGCCGCCCGCTGCTCCCCTCAGCAGTGTACTTCGGTCCTTCTGCCTGTTCTGCTCCCCGCTCTGGCTCTGGTGAATTCTCTCACCCTCCCCCGCTTCTGTCTGTACCCAGTGCTTGTATAAACAAACAAACAAACAAACAAATAAATAAATAAATAAAACATGCCTCTTAAAAAAAAAAAAAAAGATACCAGAGTGGAGGCCGAGGCTCTGTGTGACTGGACAGTGGTGACACCCTGGGGCCCGGGGGCTCTGCCCATTCCGGCCATGACAGCCTGTGAGCTGTCTTCTCTCTCTGACTGTCTAACAGCTTCCGCCCCAGACCGCCCAGGGCGTTGTCATGACAGATACCATGATCTGGGTATATGAACCCGCACTAGTCCCAGTCGGGTGCCCCTGGGCATGGAACACACACTAGCCCTGTGGGCACCTCCTGGACTTGAGCACAGAGGCTGGTCCTGCTGCTGAGCAGGTGCCTGCTGCAGTGGGAGTGGACTTCAGGGGACGGAACTTCTTAACTTGAACAGTTGACATCTCTCTGGAATGGCTGACTCCACATTTGACTGTCCTACGCGTGTGTTGTTCTGTTTGTTTGTTTGCTTGCTCGCCTCTTTGTTTGCTTTTTCATCTGCACTCCTTGAGTTTATTGAGGAAAGAAAAAAAAGGAAAGAGAGAGGCCTGCATAGACTCAGGCGGGCATGAAGGCTGTCTGCTGTTCTGTCTGTAAAACACTGATGAGCCAGTAAGGACAAATGGGAACCTGAAGTAGGTAAGTAACAACTGAAAAGCTTAGATATTTGTTTCATTTCAAAATCAGGAAGTACAAGTAATTTTAGAGAATAAGAATGTGGATTTCTGCAGCATCTACAGTTTTACTTAGTGTATAAAAAATGCAAAGAAGCCCTTCCTGGGGCGCAAGGGGGTAAGTCTCAGCACTATGAAGCTGTCCACAGCCACCGCAGCACCAGTTCGATCCCCAGCTAGGGAGCTGACCCACATGGCGCAGCAGACCTCTCCTGTCTCCCCGCTGCTCCCCTCAGCTGTGTATTTCAGTAGATCTGCCTATTCTGTTCCCCACTCTGTCTCTGGTGAATCCTCTCACCCCCGCACCTCTGGCCTGTACCCTAATTGTTATATGCGTAAATAAATAAAATGAATCTTTAAAAATATATAAACAGCACATTGGAGGATTTTATTCCATAACAAAACAACTTTTGAATGACTTAGGCACACATTTCAGGCCTGGTCTGGCGAGCGGGCCCTGCTCTTTGGCCTTATTTCCACCTGCCACATGACCGAGGGGGCAGAGGACGTGCCTGGACTGCAGCGCATGGCCCACCCCTGCCAGGGACCCTGGCCTTGACCTCAGGGAAGGCAGGCGGACACCTGACTGAGGGGACTGGGATGAGAACTCAGCGTGGCCCAGCTCAGGGTCTTCCAAGACCTGCCGCTGAACCTCTTTCCTTCCAGTAGCGTTTACTGTTTTACAGCCGAGCAAACTCATGCTGGGAGTTTAAGAAACAGGTGCACTCCAGATGCCTGTCTCCACGTGTGCAGGGAGAAGCATCACTTCTCCCCCACCTGGGGTGATGAGTGTGGGTTCTGGGAGTTGGCCTTGAGGTGAGCCAGGGATGCCCAGTGTCCTCAAGGCCCATCCCCCTGCCCCTGGTCCTGCCTGATCTCCCTCTGCCTTCCTCCTGTTCTCCCAGTCACGTGTCCACAGCACCCAGCCTCATGGGTTGAGTCAACCAGGGTGCCCCTCCCAGGGACTCAACCCAGATTCCTGGCCCCACGACTGTGCATGGTGGTCTCTTCCCTCACCAGCTCACAGGGACCCACTATGCTCTTCCCACTCAAACCTGAGTCTCCCCAACTGCTGTGTTTCATCTCTAAACCACCCACAAAGGCCCTGGCTGGGTAGAGACTCCAATGAATGAGTGAGAACCTTCTCATCTCCATGATGCCTGCTAATTCAGTTTGCTGCTACCACACATCCCTGTCCTGTAGAGACAGGCCCTGCGCCTGGGACAGGCCTCGTCCACCCGCCCACGTGCACGGTCAGGAGGGGGTGTTGGCAGCGGGGGCTGGTCCTGCCTGGACGGTGAATGTCTGCGGTAGGAGACCTTCACCCAATTTCCTCACCTAACAGGAAAGGGCTCAAGCTCCTGGGGCAGAGTGCTGCTGAGCTGGTGTTCTTTCTTTATTTTTTTGACAGTTGTAGGTAAATTTTATTTTACAAATTACATTTGTTCACTAACAGTTTTCCTTTTTTTATTAATTTATTTTTTACATCATTGTTCATTTTTAAACAACATTTGCCTCCCCCGCCTCAGGTGTAGTCCCCATAGAGTTTCCTTCACCAATGCACCCGTGCACCATCACCTCAGTCCCTGGGCTCATCCCTTCCTCTCTCTATCCCTCTCCCTCCTCCTCCCCTGCAGGATGTCTCCAACCCACAAGCCAGAAAGTTGCTGACTGTGGCCTCCTCTGTGTCAGCCCCTCTCAGCAGGTGTCCCAAGGTGCTGCAGGACTGAAGCTCCAGGGAGTCAGGACAAGGGGCTGGAGATGGAGAGGTGGCCAAGGAGGGCCACACTTTCCGGTGCTCCCTACAGCATGTCTGCATCAGAAAAGAAACCCCAGTTTGTGCCAGTGGTTCAGGAAATCCTGGTTCCCTTCTCCTGAGTCTGTCCCTCCACAGCACCCCCATCCCCAAGCCCGCCCTCTCTGTGCTGCAGCCTGTGGTGCCTCCTCCCTCCTGTCCACAGCAGAGCCAGCCCCAGGTTCAGTGAACTGCCTGCGCCTGCTCCGGAGGTCAGACTGGGAGCCCCTGAGAGGGCGGCCTGGCTGCTGCTCCCTCCAGCCTTGGAGGCTGTAGGTTAAGAGCCTCTTCCCTGGCTCTCAGCCTCATCTCACACTGGGGGTACACACAGGCTCTAAGGGTCCCACACTCCTTCTGTCCAATCCAGCCCAGCTGTCAGCGTCCCCCCACAACAGCACAGCCCCCATCCCCTGTTCCCCTCTGCTCAAGACAGGGCACCTGGCTGGGGGCCTGGGGTCTGCGGGAGGCTGGCTGCCAGGTGATGGCACAGACCTGAGCCAGGATCCCTGGGGCTCCTCAGAGTTAGGGCCCTTCTCACCTGCTCCGCCACCATCTCTGCTGTCCCTCCCACCACCTGCACCAGCCAAGCTGCTGTCTGCGGGGCTGCCGGTGGATCTCCAGACTGCTGAGTCTGTCTGCGAGGTCTCCTCACCCACTTTCCTGGCATTTGACCCAGTTCCTCTGCTCTGAGCCCCTGAATGGAGCCTCCTTCCCCTTGACACATCATCTAGGAACCCCATGCCGCTGTGTGGTGAGCCCAGCAAAGCCTTGTACGACCAGGACATGTGTGCCTGCTGTCCCCTCCACCCACCAGGGGCCCCGCCCCAACAGACGTCTGACCCCAGTCAGGAGGGACTCGCTAAACCCTCAGAACATCCACAGGCCCTAAGCCTTGGTGGCCCCTCCCCACCACGGGCTTTACAGCGAGGGGGGCTCAGCACTCAGGGCCCAGCTCGTCCAAGTTCTTGCTCAAGTGACACGAGCCCTTCCCGCCTGGTCTCCTTCACCATGAGCAGGGGCAGGAGGGGAGGGGCCCGACTGGGAATTCCATGCCCCCCTCACCCCCGGGCCCCCTCCCGTCCCCTCATCCTGCACACGGTACCTTCCATATTATAAAGCCTATGATGCCAGGCGGGATGGCGCAGGCGAGGACGATTCCAAAGTTGAACCTGGGCCCCTGCATGACACTCGTGGTTGCAGACCTGCCTGGGGCCGTGCTCAGTGGTGCTGAAATGGAAAATCACAGTGAAACCCGGGTCCAGACCCCATAAAAGGGGAATCCCCTGAGCCTCTGCCACCCCAGGTATCCCCAAATGCAGAAACTTTCTTCGCTCTGGCAGCCCCTACAGCACATCCTGGATGTACAGACAGAGAAGGTCCTGCCCCCAGGGGCACAGCGCTAAGGGGGAGCGAGGAGGCTCACTAACCAGTCTCTCCTGCTGGGACAGAGGAGCAGGGGCAGGAGGAGGGTGACAGAGACGCCTCTCAGGGGCTGGCGCTGAGGTGGACGGAAGACTTTCCAGATGCAGACCAGGCGAGAGGAGGAGAACAGAGATGCTGAGAAGGAGAGCAGTGGGAGAAAGGTCTGGAAACAGAAAGAGGCCCCACGTTTGGATCAGCAAAGAGTCCATGGAGTGAAGAAAGGTGTTGCAGAGAGGAAGAGGCGTCAGGAGGGGCCAGGGCACAGGCAGGAGGCAGAGCACAGCTGTGTCCTAGCCACTGTCTCCCGAGAAGAACTCAGGGGGGCGGCGCACCCCCAACATGCGTGCACACAACACACACAACACACGTTCACACACACACGAACACACGAACACACCCATCAAAGAAACCCACCACTCCTCCCCACTGCCTTGTTACCTGGGGTCCCCGGCGTCTCCCAGTGCGCTGCAACCTCCTGCAGCCATGTCCTCCAGTCTCCCCGGGACATCCTCCAGAGAGTGGCATTCATGTCTCTGTCCTCCTCCCACTTCTCCAGCATCCACCTGTCTCCAGGACGCTCCGCCGTCCAGTGGCCGGTCACCAAGTCCAAACGCAGGGAGATGCGTCCACTGATGACAAGCTGCCAGGATCCTCGGCTGCGCCCACTGGCCTCCTCCTGAATCACCATCGTGGCCTGCAGAGAGAGGGGCCCTGACCAGGGAGAAGGCTCATTCTCTGCCCCTGGTGCCCACAGCACTGGTCCCGCCTCCCTGCCCTGCTCTGCCCTCCGTGTCCTCCCTGCCTGCTGCGACAGGAGACTTTTACTTAAACACGACAGCGCCCTGACCTACACGTGTCCCCGCTCTCCCTGGGCCCTCAGACTCACCGCTGCCTCGGGAATCCTCGGGTTCAATGTCAAGAAGCTTCTCTTTGAACTTTTCTGCCAGGTCTTTCAGATTTCCTCTCAGGTCCTCCTTGAGTGCAGCCTCCACCTTCATGCCCTGAACACAGATGGCCGTGACCTCGCGGCTCTGGCAGTTGTAGGTAAAACAGCGCTCCCCATGCACCTGCACTTCAGCCTCACACCATGGCTGCGTCTTAGGAGTGACGGTGATGTTAACGCTCAGAGAGTCTGCAGATGAGAAGGAAAATCCCAGGTGAGGGCAGGACTGAAAGAAGAGGCTCTCACGCAGCCTCCCCCATGTCTGAGACACAGGCGGTTCCCTGAAGGGCTGGGGGGGCTCACAAAGCAGAGACTGTCCTGTCCACCCTCACGCTCAGCTGTGCAAGGCCGTGCCCCTCCCTGCTCACGGGAGAGGAGGCGTCTGCCTGGAGAGAAACCACATGTCCTGGAAACACCTCTGTGACCACCAGCCTCTCCCAGCACCTGCCAGCCCGTGACCTTCCCAGGTCACACAGGTGGCCAAGGGAGGAAAGGTCTAGATGCCAGAGCATTGTCAGAATGTGGCCAGTGTTCCCAGGGGGGTGGAGAGAGCAGGGGCTGCTCCTGAGGGGCGGGTCCCAGCAGGGAGGGGGTGGAGGCAGGAGCAGAGGGAGGGGTAGGATGTGGGCAGAGGACTCAGCACAGCCCCTGGGGGTGGTGCTGACCTTGGAGGGGGACCAGCCTTGAAGCTTGGAGAGAGGGAGGCCCCAGTGCAGGGGCAGGAGATCAGGCACTTCTCAGGCACTAGGAGAGGAGGGACTGAAGGGCGCAGAGAAGAGCATGTTGGGATGATATGCAGGAAAAGCAGAAACTGTGCCCCAACTCTGCTCCAGGGGAGGGTCCGGAGGTCACTGTTGTCAGCCTGTAAGAATCAGGAGAGGAGCAACCCGCTTCATGCAGCTCAGAGAGGGTGTCCCTGGCGGCCAGGGTGTAGTTGCCAGTGGGGTCCAGAAATGGCCTCCCAGATTAGTGCGGGTAAAAGTCCTGGACTAGCAGGTTGGAGGAACAGGCGCTCAACCGTCAGAAGAGGGACGCTGCGAAGAGTGAAGTGACCAGAAAGGCTGGAAAGTCAGCAGCGGCCTGACCCCAGAAACCTTTCCCGTCAGCTCAAGGAACACGGTGATTCTGGAGACAATACCCAGGGACAGTCACCCGGGGACTCGGGACAGAAATACAAATCGGGACCAAGCACAGGAGGGGGCCTTGGGAGGTGCATGAGGCTCCCCCTGAAAGGCTGGACCCCGTGCAGGCCCCGTGCCCCCGTCCACACTGAGCCGCTCCTCAGACCAGGAAGCCATCACTAGCACAGGAGGCCGGTTCCAGCAGAGGGAGGGGCCACACGTTCCCTGGGTTTGTAACAGGAAATAGTCATATTTATACCTCATGAATTTACTTGTGGGTTAAATCCTACATCTTAGGGAAATTCAATCACAATCTCCTTATACTGACCTTTCCCCCCAAAAAAAGGCTAAAGCAGCAAGGACAGAGGTGAGCACCAACCTGAAACCTCTCTGAGGGTGCACTGGGGCCCCTTCCTATCTCCATCTAATGCCAGGCTCTCCTGTGGGTATTCCTGTAAATGGCAAATGTTTAATGTGTCGGGTTTGGCAAACCCCAGACCTCTGTTGCAACCACCAGCTGTGCTGCCGCAGCTGAGAGCAGTCACGGAGGTACTGTGGCCAACAAGCCCCAGGGCCACACAACCCGCAGAAGCTGTTGGGTGGGAAGGCTGCTGCGTGGGCTTTATGGCGTCCTAACTGAAGTGTCACGACACAGACCCTGAGTTAAGGTACAAGTCCTGCCACTTGCAGCAGGGGATCCACAGCATTTGAAGAGCCCCTGGAGAAGCACCAGAGCTGGCAGAGAGGAGGCCCCTGGCCATGGGGTGCACAGTCCTCATCTGAGTGTGAGGAGGACAGGCAGGCCCAGAGCTCATGACAGAAGTGACTCTGGCATTGGCATGAGCAGGCCCACAGGGAACAAATAAGGCACACAAGCAGGCATCCTAGACCCAGCAGCAGATATGCTGAGCACCCAGCTCAGCTCCCTCCTGCGACTTCCTGCAGAGTCACTCAGGGTGCAGGGGGCCAGGAACCCTCCACAGAAAGGAGAGGCAGTAACTGAGGACCCCACGATCCAACTTGGGAAACTGCTCCTGCTCTCCCCGTCCTGGGCCCAGTGCTGCAGGGGGCCTTGCTGCCCCAGCTAGATAAGACACTGGCAAGCAGCTAAGAAAAAGGGCCTCACACCATGGGGCTGAAAATTCCTTGTGCTTCACACCATGGAGCTGAAGATTAAACATCCCTTTGTTTTTGTACATTGGGCAATAAATTATACGTATAAGAATATTATAAATACATGGCACAGAGAATTACCTACTTAAAAATTAAATACTGAATAATTTGGCCCACTTGACAATGGGAAATAATTTATTGTGCAAGGGCATGCCTGACAAGCAACCCAAAGCTGGCCGCAGTATTCCTTATATGGATGTTCCATGAAGAAGCCTTGTAATGAATCATAAAGTTGATTACTCTAGGAGTTTGTAGGTAGAAAAAAGTTCTAATAACTGATTACCAGGAAGCAACTGGTCTCTAGCTGCAGACCATATAGATAGAGGAGTCTCCTGACATTGTAGCCTTGGCGATAGGGATATACCAAGGATATACTAAGTTTTAATTATCTATTAATTCTTAAGGTCGTTTCTTTTCTCAAAACACGGAGGCACCAAAATGTCTATGGGAAAGGAATGTACTGATTGTTTCTGTTTTGCTTCTATGCATATGATGATGTAATCCTACAGCTTGCCTAAATGTATAATTAAAGACCTGCTGAGACCCTCAGCAGCAGATACTTGCACCAACATAAGAGTGTCTGTGTCTGCCTCACTCCCCTTCCCCTCAGCCCTTAAAGTTTCCAGAAGCCTCTCATCCTTTCAGGGACACCTGACCCAACATTCTGCCGAAAGCTGGTCTTCAAAAGCCCAGAGCTTTTCCTGGGTGTGTCCTGGGCCAGGGAACAAGGTGTGTGTCCTCTCCTGGAGCAGGAGGTGAGTTTAAAAAACAGGAAGGATTTGGAAGCTCTGGGGTTGAAGGGGAGGAGGAGAGAAGAAGAATAAAGCAGCAAAACGAGCAGCCAGGAGAGATGTGTGGGAGGAAGTGGCTGGAAGGAGTCTCTGTCAAGGGAGCAGGTGGGCTGCCAGTGCCAGTGTCTTGGCCAAAGCGGCAGGAGGGTCAAGAGTGTAGGGCAGTGGGGATGAAGGAGTTTTCCAGAGCACAGAAATGTTACGGGGTTGTCTAGGTGTGTGGGGGGCAAGGAAGGGGAGCAGAATTTTACCCTTGCTGGAAACTCCCCCCCTAACCCCTGGAACCTGCCCCCTCTACGGTCTGGGTGTGGGTGGGTTATGCACTTCAGGAGAACTTACTACCCACCCTGTCTCCTCCCCTCCCCCTCCTACTCTCCCCTACTACTACCCCCCCCCCAGCCTCTTTTCAGGCCCCCTCCTAGCCTCAAGCAACTACTGGTCCCCCAGGTGCCCTGGAGGAGATCTGCCAGTGCAGTGAAAGGGCGGGCGCAGCTTGGTGCCGCCGCCACCTGCTCTGTTGCTGAGCCCAGGGGGGCTCTCCCCCCTCCCCACCCCGCCTCTGTGCCCCCTCGTCCCGCTCTCACCCGCCCAAGCCCTATTGCCTTCCACGCCTCACCTCTTCGCAACGCCAGGGGCGCTGCCGCTACCAGCAGGCCCAGCAGGAGACCCAGGAGACCCCACGCGCAGCTCCCGGGGCGCGCCACGGCGACCCGCAGCCGGACCCAGGCAGGGCCCGAGCGCCTCCCCCAGACCCAGGCCAAAAGGCGGCGGCCGGATCCTGAGTCCAGGCTTAGCCTCCCGCTTCACGGAGACGGTAGCGCTTCCTCTCGCTGTCTCCTCCCCTCCCCTCGCTGTCTCCTCCCAGTCACCCGCTGCGGGATCTTTTCCAAACCCACCTTCACACCCTTTCCTTCTTATGGTAAGAACGCGAGAACTTCCAGTTAAAAACAAATAACTCATAGGGATGTCATCACAGCTTGGCGTGTAGAGTTAAAAATATAGGGCCTCCCTGGTGGCCTAGGGGTTAGGTCTCAGCGCTATCCCTATCACCCATCACCCCTAAAGCTTGAGTTCGATCCCCCTGACTCACATAGGGCACAGCAGACCTCTCCTGGCTCCCCTGCTGCCCCCCTCAGCAGTTGTACTTCAGTAGATCCGCCTGTTCCGTTCCCCACTCTGACTCTGGTGCAGCCTCTCATGCCCCCTCCTCTGGTGTACACCCCAGTTCTTGTATGCAAGATAATGGGTATTATTTAATTAACTGCTTCCTGCTGTTTAATGGGTGAAACTGGTCAACTAAAGAAAAAACTTTAAATTTTCTTTCCAAGCAGAGGAAGTCACAGGAGGCCGCCGAGCTATATAAAGAGAGGATCTAGGGATTATGCACTAAGGAATATCTGCACAGAAATTACAGTAAATTAGGAAGTAGAGAGAAACTTCTATTTCAAGGATGAAGCATAATATAACAAAAAGTAATTTTTTTCCCTCCAAGTCCCAAATCCCTCTCCCCAAGAATTTAACCAGTTTTTGAAAGACGGAGCGGCATCTGATAAACACGGCACCTGAAGTTACATGTCTCTTACTAGGTGGGGTACATTTGAGGAGCGATCAGGAATGCAGACTCAGCATTCAGTGTGTTATTCACTCAATTCATTATTGGGCCAGTGCCTATCTCTGCTCAGAGTCAGTTTTGTATAACAGCTTTTCTCATAGTTTGAGTTTAGTGTTTGCTAGAGAGATTTCCTTGAGTGAGTCTCTTAAAGCCAGTTTAATAAAGTTTGTAAGGACTTCCATGTGTCAAACTGCACGTCATTCCTCAGGGAGGGAGGGAAACAAAAGCTAGATGATCATGCCGGTGGAAAACTGATCTAGTCAAGGGTGTATAAGGTGACGGTGATGGGTGGGGTTAATAGGTTTTTAAATAGTAGCCGGTAGCCAAAGGAGTCCTATTGCATGCCACCCAATCCAGTCTGGAGGAGGCCATAGAAAGCCATTTGGAGCCAACAGTAGTATGCCAGGTCAACTAGCAAAATCAGTAGCAAACCAATGAGAAGGTTTCAGGGTTATGACATGGGAATGAATTTCACTGGGAATCAACCTATTT